AAGAAAACAAAAGACCACTTCAAGGTACTGTAGTGAACTCATTCTTTATTTATATTGGTGTTAAACCTACTGTATTCCAACTTCTCTATGGTTTATAAACTATTTTACTAGCCATAGATTCATCAAAATAAGCAAACAACACACGAAAAACAGAATCTGTCAAAAACAAAACAGTCTGTAGTAATCTGTAGCTAGCGCAATATATGGAACCCCAAAAATTCTAAAATAAATTGCTGGACGTGAGGAATTTATCTATTAATCATCTGCAAAACTAATTAACTAAATAGCACTTTCCGAATAAAAATGGCAGCAGTTCTTGTGAGCGCTAAAGTTTCTGTTTTTTACAGCAAGATATCAAGACTTTCCCCAAGTCTTCCCAACGGTTCTACATGGCACAAACACTAATTAAACACAAAAAAACAACCTAAACTGAGGCTATATAAATTATTTATTACTAAACAGGAGCAAAAAGCAAGGAATATAAATAAAATGGGGTTGCCTCCCAACAAGCGCTATCGTTTAACGCCTCTAGCTAGGCATAAAAAGCAAGGATAAATCTAGGTATTGCCTCATAAAAGCAAGGATGAATCTATTATGACAGCCACTTATGGATTGCCTACCAAAGATGGCAATACCTAGATCTATTCGTGTTTGTTATGCCTAGTTAGGGGCGTTAAACAATAGCGCTGGTTGGGAGGCAACCCAATTTTATTTTTATTTCTTGGTTTTTGCCCCTGCTTAGTAATAAATAAATTATCTAGCCTCTATTTTGGTTGTGTTTTTTGTGTTTAATTAGTGTCTGTGCCAAGTAGAACTGTTGGGAAGACTTGGGGAAAGTCTTATTGAACTTGCTGTAAAAAACAGAAACTTTAGCGCTCACGAGAAATGCTGTCATTTTTATTTGGAAAGTGCTATTTAGTTAATTATTTTTGCAGATGATTAATAGATAAATTCCTCACGTCCAGAAATTTATTTTAAAATTTTTGGGGTTCCATATCTTGCGCTAGCTACAGATTACTACAGACTGTTCTGTTTTTGACAGATTCTATTTTGCGTGTGTTGTTTGCTTATTTTGATGAATCTATGGCTAGTAAAATAGTTTATGAACCATAGAGAAGTTGGAATACAGTAGGTATAACACCCATATAAATAAAGAATGAGTTAATTACAGTACCTTGAAGTGGTCTTTTGTTTTCTTTCGCTAACGGAGCTCACGAGTTTCGAAGAGGAAGGGATGATGCAGCAAACTAGCGTAAGTATTTCCCTCAGTTTTTGAGAACCAAGGTATCAATCCAGTAGGAGGCTACGCGCGAATCCCTCGTACCTGCACAAAACAAATAAATCCTCGCAACCAACGCAAATAGGGGTTGTCAATCCCTACACGGCCACTTATGATAGTGAGATCTGATAGATATGATAAGATAATATTTTTGGTATTTTTATGATAAAGATGCAAAGTAAAATAAAAGCAAAGTAAAAAAGCAAAGGAAATAACTAAGTATTAGGAGATTAATATGATGAAGATAGACCCGGGGGCCATAGATTTCACTAGTGGCTTCGCTCAAGAACATAGGTATTCTACGATGGGTGAACAAATTACTGTTGAGCAATTGACAGAATTGAGAATAGTTATGAGAATATCTAGGTATGATCATGTTTATAGGCATCACGTCCGAGACAAGTAGACCGACTCCTGCCTGCATCTACTACTATTACTCCACTCATGGAGCGCTATCCAGCATGCATCTAGAGTATTAAGTTCATGGAAACAGAGTAACGCCTTAAGCAAGATGACATGATGTAGAGGGATAAACTCATGCAATATGATGAAAACCCCATCTTGTTATCCTCGATAGCAACAATACAATACGTGCCTTGCTGCCCCTACTGTCACTGGAAATGGACACCGCAAGATTGAACCCAAAGCTAAGCACTTCTCCTATTGCAAGAAAGATCAATCTAGTAGGCCAAACCAAACTGATAATTCGAAGAAACTTGAAAAGATAACCAATCATACATAAAATAATTCAGAGAAGATTCAAATATTGTTCATAGATGGACTTGATCATAAACCCACAATTCATCGGTCTCAACAAACATACTGCAAAAGAAGATTACATCGAATAGATTTTCACAAGAGAGGGGGAGAACATTGTATTGAGATCCAAAAAGAGAGTAGAAGCCATCTAGCTAATAACTATGGACCCGTAGGTCTGAGGTGAACTACTCACACTTCATCGGAGGGGCTATGGTGATGATGTAGAAGCCCTCCGTGATCGATGCCCCCTCCGGTGGAGCTCCGGAACGGGCCCAAAGATGGGATCTCGTGGATACAGAAAGTTGCGGCGGTGGAATTAGGGTTTTGGCTCCGTATCTGATCGTTTGGGGGTACGTAGGTATATATAGGAGGAAGGAGTATGTCGGTGGAGCAACAGGGGGCCCACGAGGGTGGAGGGCGCATCTAGGGGGTAGGCGCGCCCCCCTACCTCGTGGCCTCCTCCTTTGTTTCTTGACATAGGGTCCAAGTCTCCTGAGTCTTGTTCGTTGAGAAAATCACGTTCCCGAAGGTTTCATTCCGTTTGGACTCCGTATGATATTCCTTTTCTTTGAAACCCTAAAATAGGCAAAAACAGCAATTCCAATAATGTCCAAAACAGTAGATAATATAGCATGGAGCAATCAAAAATTATTGATACTTTGGAGACGTATCAGAACCCACCGAGGGCGGGGTGGCTCAGGATCAGCATCTCCGGCGCCCAGCCACGGACCATGAAGTCGCGGTCGCCGCTCGCGATCAGGTCGGCGAAGCCTTCGGGCATCCACTCCGAGGATTCTTGGCCTGCGGCGGCGCCAATCACCCACACGAAGTTCAGGCCTGAGAGGCCGAGGGCGCGGGCGAGCTGGTGCAGCTCCGAAAGGAAGAGGCATACATGCCTAGTATGGGTGATGGGTCCAACGATTTGCATTGGTCTCAAACCAATGACATGCATTTCGATGACCATGAGTTCGAGGTGGACGAGGATGGTGAGGGCACTGTCAGCGCACCGAAAGAAAGAGGAGGCAACTACACCAACGAAGAAGACGTCTTGCTATGCACTACTTGGTTGCAAGTGTCGAGGGATCCATCCGTTGGAGGTGATCAAAGTAGAGATGCTTATTGAAACCGGATGAAGGAACACTGTGATCTACGCAACGAGAGTGAAATTGACCGCTCCGCTCGATCTCTTTGCTCCCAGTGGTCGACAATCAACAAGGATTGTCAAAAGTGGGCGGCCGCACAAAAGGCGGTTGACAAGTTGAACCCAAGTGGCACTAATGATGAAGATAGGGTAAGTACCATTTCATCCATGTTCGATCATGGTCATCATGCTTGTTGTTGGTGTTTGTAGTGCTAACTTGTTTTGTTTTTATGTAGTTGAATATTACACAAAACTTGTTCAAAGGAGAGGAGAATAAGAGCAAGAAGGGGAAGATCAAGAAAGGACGACCATTTACCTTGTCTCATTGCTATGAAGCATTGAAGGGTGATGAGAAATGGAAGAAGTATGGATGATTTGGATTTGAGCAACAAACGTAAGCGAACAATTGATTTGGATGATGATGATGAGGAGGCATCAAGTGATGATGGCAAGAGAAGCCCCACACCAAACTCGGTTTCATACTCGAGCCAAAACGACCAGATGGGCCCAACATAAACGCAAAAGAAAAAAAGAAGAGGAAAGGAGATGATGAGCTCAAAAATGTTATGGAAGCTATTGTGAAGCCAAGAAAATAAGTCAACGAGGTGAGGAAGATGTCAAGGAACCAAGATGCCGCGGCCGAGGAGAGGAGGTTGGCGGACGAGGAGAGGAGGGTGGTGGCCGAGGAGAGGAAGGTGGCATTGGAGGAGAGGAAGGTGGGCATGGAAGAGCGATCTAGATTGTTGGAGTGGGAGAAGTACTTATTCTTCTTGGACACATCTATTCTCAATGAGGCACAAAAAGAGTATGTCAATCTTGCCCGTGAAGAAATCTTGATCCAAAAAAGGGCCATGATTCGTGGCATGGGTGATGGTGGCCTTGGCAGCATGGGTGGCGGTGGCCTTGGCTGCATGGGAGGCATCGATGGCTTCGGAGCTACCATGAGGGGCATGGGTGCCATGGGTGGCTTTGGAGCTACCATGGAGACCATGGGAGACATGGGTGGCTTCGGAGCACCTCCGGGCGCCATGGCCGGAATGTCTTTCGGTGTGCCTCACAGACCTTCGCATAAAGACGCCGTTGAAAATCTTGCCAACATCTTTCGAGCTTCACATGATGATGCGGTGCCCGGCAATGAAGAGGAGGAGGAAGAATCGTCTTCGGAGTCGGATGAATCGGAGGAAGATGAGGATGAAGACGAGGACGAGGCTTGATTGCTAATGTGCCTTTCGTTTGTGTGAACTTTTGTGTCATGAACTTGGTTTGGATTTTAAACTTGGTTGGATGATGTTGTGGACATGAATTTGAATTTGTGGGCATGAACTTTTATGTCATCAACTTGTTTGTGTGATTCAAATTATGCCATGTCTTTGTTTTGAGATGTTTGAAATTCATTTTATATCCAAAATGCAATATATGGCATGCGCCGGCTGCTCGCGCACTGCATTTTTATGCACTGTTGGAGCTACGCGCGCTGCATTTTATCGCAGCTGCTGAAGCCAGCGCTCCCCACCGCGCCAAACCAAATGAGCAACACGCTGCAAACTGTTTTTTAACGCGCCGCGCGTTAGGCGGCTGTTGGAGATGCTCTTAACAGCGTCCAATAATAAAGGCAGCAAGTTTCCAAAGAAAAACAAGACGCCATGGGTCATGGCTGTCGTAGCAAATATCGCCATCGGATCTGACTGGCCACTAATATGCCAAAAGGAAAGTCCAAAGCTGAAGAAACTATTCTCATTTGGCACCTCCAAACTTTCACAATTTGCCTGTTGCCCCTTGTTATGTCAGTCAAGCTCCGCCACTGTGTCGGACCAATACCAATCAGCAGCTGGCCTGGATGTCTTCTACAACCTTGACGGTGCTCCGGCGGGCCGCCAGCTCGTCCATTAGCCGGCCAACGTCATCGTACGAGGATCCTCCCTTCTCCATCGCGCTCCTTGCCTTCAGACCGAGGTCCTTAGCCTTCTTCTGGATGGCGTCGCTCTCCATCAACCTCTGGATGGACTCCGCGATCACCTCGCCGGCGATCACCTCGTGGGCCTCGATGCCTGACGCGTAGTCCTTGGCCCCGATGCTGACGCCCACCTTGAGCTGCTCCACGACGAGCGTCTCGTTGTTGAACTGGTCCGCGTACCGCGGCCACGTCGCCATCGGCACGCCGGCGGTCACGGCCTCCAGCACCGAGTTCCAGCCGCAGTGTGTCACGAACCCACCGAGGGCGGGGTGGCTCAGGATCAGCATCTGCGGCGCCCAGCCACGGACCATGAAGCCGCGGTCGCCGCTCGCGATCAGGTAGGCGAAGCCTTCGGGCATCCACTCCGAAGAGTCTTGGCCTGCGGCGGCGCCGATCACCCACACGAAGTTCAGGCCTGAGAGGTCGAGGGCGCGGGCGAGCTGGTGCAGCTCCGCCGGAGCGAACCTGGTCAGTGTGCCGAAGGAGACGTACACCACCGAGCCGGCCGGCTTGGCGTCCAGCCACCGGAGACAGCTGCTCGCGTCCGGCGAGGGCACGTCGGTGCCTCTCACAGCCATGTCCTTGCTGGCGAGGGCCACCGGCCCGACGAGCCACACGCGCCGGCCGAGCGTCTTTTGGAAGTGCTTGACATAGTCCCGCTCGAGGTCGTGGAAGCTGTTGAACACCTCGCCGAAGCTCCTCTGGTCGGCGGCGTTCATGCTTTTGAAGAACTCCCAGTGCCACGGCCTCTTCGCCGGGTCCAGCATCTGGCTCCGCCTCAGCTCGACGCGGTGCGGCAGCTCCGGCAGCAAAACGAGGGCGTCGGGGTCGTCGGGGGCGTTCTCCAGCGGGTTGTGCCGCAGCATGCTGTCGCTGCAGGCGCGCGCGAACATGCTGCTGCCGAGGAACGCGATGCGCGGGACGCCGCGCTCCGCGGCGGCGTCGACGGACCAGTCGAAGAAGATGTCGGACACGACGGCGTCGGTGCGGTGGTCGGCCAGGAACCGGTCGAAGGGCTCCCGGAGAAGCCTGACCGCTTGGTAGAACTTGTCGCGGTCGTCCTGGGACGCGAGGGCCGTGCCGTTCTCGACGCCCGGCGGGAGCCCGACGTCTGGGAAGGGCACGACGGCGATGTCGATGGCCGGGGAGCCAGTGCCGGCGAAGGCGTCGTTGGCCCGGTCGACGGCAGAGCGGATGATAGCGGCGTTGACGGGCGTGGTGAGGATGGTGCACCTGACGCCGCGGCCGGCGAAGAGCGCGGCCATGTGGGCGATAGGGATGAGGTGGCCGGACGCCAGGAACGGGAAGAAGAGGATATGCAGCGGCTCGTCGCGGACAGCCATGGCCGGCGAGCTAGCCGCGTCCCGTGACCGACAGAAAGCACTACGGCCGGCGTGGAGGAGATAGATCGAGTACAGATGCAGATCAGACACAAGCCTCGGTGCGATTAAGATGAGAGTCGTGAAGAGGGCTATTTATAAAGTCATACGTAAAAGTTTGGGCTCTCGTTGTCTGATGGAACCAACGAGGAAGGGGAGCGGGAGAAGTGGCTTCAGGCTTGGTGATCTCCGTCTTCCAGAAGCGAAGCGTTTGGAGTGACGTTCAAGATTTTGGTACTCCCACTGTTCACGCAGACATTTCAGACATTGTGCACAACAATTTAATTTCAGTTGTATGAAACAACTTACAAAAATGAAGGGAGGGAGTACTTTGTTTGATGGATCTTGTTAGGCTGCTTTCAATGCATGGGTGCTTAGATGAGGTGCTAAGCATATTAAAAAGTTTAGCAACTAATGTCCATAATACATAGGTGCTTCACTTGTTGGTGTTAAGCTCTCCTAATTTAATGCTTTAGCAACTGAACTATTTCATGCATTGGTGGATTTCTTTCATTTAATTGTTTTTGTCTAGGTTCGCGTGCTTAGCATTAGTTCTTCCTGGGGTCACTAAATTCACTTCTTTTCTTTTTATTATCTTGCCACATCAGATTTTTTGCCTACGTGGCAGCCTTAGCACCTGTATAAGGTGGAGCATTGGGAGGGGCCTTAAAATGGGAAATACATTTGTGTTCCTGGTGGTATATGCATCCTATATGGGGATTTATTTTTAATTTTTTAATAAAAAGTCAAAATAGGTAAGAACTATTTTGACAAAATACTTGACTTACTTTTGCACTAGTATAAAAATCCCGACGAAAAAAAAACAAAAGTTGACCTCACAGCAAAAAAGACAAAATTTATTTGCTATTATAGATCACTATTCACACTATTTTAGCCAAACATTTGTCTTTTTTGAAAAGAAGGCAAAGGGATATTTTTTTCGTGGATTTTTTCTCACGAATACAATAGAAGATCAAGTTTATTTCAAAAATATTTTCAGGAATTTTTAACTTTTTGTTGTTTTTTCATATAGAGTGCATATGTCCCCATAGACTAAAAGTTCCCCTCCGCCTTAGAATATGCTATAACGTTGACAAATCCACTCAATCTGCAATGGTTCCGATGTATCGTAATGATTATTTTTACAAATTAAATTAGTCACTGTCTGTTTCTGTCATCGAAGAAAAAAAACCACTCTTATCATGACAATCTTCCCCAAGGCAAACATAACAGATGTGGAAAAAAACATCCATGGCGATATTCATTTTTAGACCGCAAAGCATATACAGCAATGTTCACTGTTATTGTGGCTTAAAAAGTGTCACCGTCATTTTCTTGAGATGGTCATCGAATTGAATGGAATTGTAATTAATTATATGCATCATTCAGTAAGCTTGGACTATATATGTAGACAAACCATCAGCGTATCTACAGACGTAAACACCTATTTTTGTGAGGCCGGAAAACACACATGTTAGGAAGCGTTTTGGATGAAATACTTGCTCATATAAAGTACTATAATTTGTAGATTTTGGGCGCTTCCACATTTTTGGCACACTTGAAACCATAAATGGATAAATATTTGTGATGCAAATGTGTGCAAAAATAGTCTTAGCTATCTTGGTTTTCCATCAATCCATTCGGAATTCCATCAAAAACAAAATCCTACATGTGGGGTTCAGATGCCCAACATACAAAGTTATCTATGCGAAGAATGTTGCATTTACCTGTGCAAATCTTTATTTTAGTTCCTTCCTCCCTTAGAGCATCTCCAACAGCCGCCCAATGTGCGGCGCGTTAAAAATTACTTTGCAGCACGCACATCGTCTGATTTGGCGTGGCGGGCAGCGCTGGCTCCAGCAGCCGCGCTAAAATGCAAGGCGCGTAGCTCCAGCAGCGCGTTAAAATACAGCGCGCGTGACTCTCGCACAAACAACATATGTGCTCCAAACACAAGCAAAAAGATCAAACACAAACAAAATAAATCAACAATAAATAGTTTTAATTTTGTTTATTACAACTCAAACAAATAGTTTATCATTCAATACAATAAATAGTTCAAAAATACAACATCAAACGCACAAATCATGATGCTCTTTGTCGGCCATTCTAAACCCACCACTCAATGAAATTCTTCTGAAGATCATCATGCGCGGCGGGACGTCAAATGGCATAATAGAAGGCAACAAAACGGGCCACCCTTTCAGCCATCCGCCGCACTCACACGAGATGTCCCAAGAGCTCATAGTGAGAGTAGTCTACATCATGGCCACGTTCATTCTTGATGATCATGTTGTGCATGATCACACAAGCGTGCATGATGTACTAAAGCATCTTTTGATCCCAAAATTTAGCCGGTCCTTCCACAATAGCAAATTGGGCTTGCAAAATCCCAAAAGCTCTCTCCACATGTTTTCTAGCCGCCGTCTGAGCATTGTGGAAATCAAGATTTTTCTTACCTTCCAGTTTTTTCAACGGCTTCACAAATGTTTGCCACTTCGGGTAGATGCCATCCGCAAGATAGTAGCCAAAGTTGTATGTACGTCCATTTGCTACAAACTGCGCCGGTGGCAGTTCACCATTTACAATCTTATTCATCAGTGGTGACTGGTTGACAACGTTGATGTCATTCAAAGATCCAGGCATTCCAAAAAAGCATGCCAAATCCAAGTCTTTTGATCGGCTACCGCTTCAAGGATTATAGTGGAATCCTTTTTTTGGCCGTGGAATTATCCATGCCATGCCATTGGACAATTCTTCCAACTCCAATGCATGCAATCTATTGAGCCAGGCATACCTGGGAAGCCGCGAGCTTTGTTCATCTCCAATAGCCTTGCGGCGTCTTCAGCATTGGGAGATCTCAAGTACTCCTGGTCAAACACTTGCACAATTCCGACTGCGAAGCGCTTGACACATATGATGGCTTGGCTCTCACCCATGGCCAAGTGATCATCAACTAGATCAGTCAAGATACCGTATGCTAGCATACGCAAAGCGGCTGTCACCTTCTGAAAGGTGTTATGCCCGAACTCTACGACGGCATTCCTCCTTTGCTGAAAAAACCGGTCATGGCTCGCTAGTTTCTCTGCAGTGCGCCTGAACAACTCGGTGCTCATCCTAAACCGACGATGAAAGTACGACCCCGGGTATGTGAGATTCTCCACAAAATAGTGCCTCATCAATCTGTTGTGGGCATCGATCATATCCCTCCAAATTTTCTGCCAACCCAAAACCGAACCACCGTACTTCGGTTTTTTATTGATGTGCATAGCTAGGATAATTGCAAGATCCTCCTTCTCTTTCATATCAAATTCTTCTTCGGAAGAATCATATGACGAACTCATCTACAATATTCAATATAAACTAGGCTATAAAAAACTACAATCAACATGCACCAAACTTATGAAGTTTGAGCAATACATACCTTGCGGGCGTTTTGTCGAACACCTTGCGGGCGCCGAGCGACAGTGAGCGGCCGGGCGCTGTTCATCGGAGGACTGCCGTGCGCGAGGGGCGGCGGTGACTAGAGGGAGACGGAGGAAGCCGCCGCGGCGCGGGGACAGGCCGAGGAAGCGCCGGAACGGTCGCCGGAATAAAATGAGGTGGCGCAGGCGGTGTCGGCACCGCGGCTGGATGGGGTAGGTGGAGTTGCGAGCGAGCGCTCGAGAGTCCAACGCGTGTGAGCGGGCGTAGCAAATAAGCGGCGCGCGATGGCATTTCGGCTTGCGCACTGAACTAGATATGCCGCGTGCGCGATTTTGCACCTCCGCTGAAGCACCCGGAGTAGTAGCGCGCGCAAAAAACACATGGGTGTATACAAAAGGTTTGACTTGTCTGCATGCTTATGTCACCAGTGACTTCATCGTACTGATTCTAGTGACATTCTCATGCCGAAAAGACCTCCACGCCCGCGCGTTGGAGCGAGCGATTCATCGAACACGGGGTACTCGGCCGACAAACCTTTTCCGTTGGGGCCCATCTAGTGGATGCAGTAGTACGTGCAGCTAAATGGTTAGTGAACACATGCGTGCATGCCGGCCTCCTTTGGTTTGTAGGATTTTTGTAGGAATTCTATAGGATATGATTTGCACAGGAAAAATTCCTTTGAAACTCTTTGATTTGTAGGAATGGATTCCTATTCCTATGTAGGATAGGAATCAATCCTTCATGTTTTGGAGGGAAAAAACATTAGCCTAGACTCAATGGAAAAAATCATATCCTATGCATCAAATGACATCTCTTTCTCTATATGAATTGACATGCATGTCATCTCACTTCCTATGATTTTTCTATTCCTATAAATTTTCTATCCTATGAACCAAAGAAGACCTTACTAGTGCACGTCTAATCTCCTCACCCCGTGATTTCAGGTGAGGAATGGGGGAGGCACTCTAATCAAAACCCTGTAGTGCCGTAGTGGGCCGCGCGCGAGTTAGCATCGCCTTCTCATGCATATTTCAGTCATAATAGGAAGTAACTTAGATTAATAACATGCATATGTTTACTATTCCCTCCATCCCGTAATATAAAAACGTTTTTGATACTACAATAGTTTCAAAAACATTCTTATATTATGGGACAGAGGAGTAGTCTATACTACTACTTCTATAGTGTGGAGTAATATATGTGTGATGTTATATAACACTGTATTTATTAGTTTGTAGACTCTTTTTGTCTTGATATATATATATATATATATATATATATATATATATATATATATATATATTTATGTATGATGTTATTCATACTATAAGTAACTAGCTATGTTATTATATGTCTCTCTTTCTTCATTAATCATTTGTCATATTATCTATTTTATCTAGATATGTCTGATGTTACCACCTATGTTACTTTCACTGTGGGTAGTCTAAGGCATCTCGAAAAGAAATAGAAAGTATAATCGGATCCTTGCAGAAGCCAACGACATCTTTCTCTTGCACACATCGACAACGTGCCATGGG